GGTTCTCCTAAATATGCCAAGCTGCTGGTCGAAAGCTACATTGGGTGGCTCGAGATCGGGGAAGGTGCATCGCCCAGAATGAAATGAAGGTGGTCAGGAGTTTGACACCAGTCATATTCCTCAGTACATTTTAGCAGCCCCTTGCCAGTTGTTCGATTATAAATAATTAATAAAGTGGCCTTTGTTAAATCCATATTGGTGTCCGTCTCTTCAATCCGACTGTGGTGGCAAAGATGTACTGTAAAATCATAAGGCCTAAGGAAAGTACTTTACAGTGGCAACACCAATATAATGCGCTTCTTCGTCTCACCCTGTTTCCTTCTTCACAGCGAGTCACCATGACAATAACTGTTGCCTTTTGCTCCCAGATCATTCTCCAGAAATCATCCATTGTCTCATCTTTGGGACCTGGTGGAAGTAATGAAAGAAGAGCCCTGCTGAATTAGACCAATAACCCTTTGTGATGGATAGTTTCAAGTTTCGCCCTCCAGGATCCTCAGCCAATCACATTCAAATAGTAGATTGGAATGTAAAAATAAAAAAGAGAGGAATTTGGCAGTTTACTGATGGGTAAGTTAGAAGATCTGCTGGTTAGGCAGGGAGTCCCTTAGAAGCTCTTCCTGTCAAAAAGGGGAACGCCTATCTGTTCTGTGTAATAAAGTGCTGTTGCCTGCAGAACTGTTAAAAGCCTTTCTGTTTCATGTTATATGAATCAGTCCAACAAGAAACATGTTTTGTACTGTTATACTTTCATAGGCCCCAGCTCTCCTGTAACTCTGTTACCGTAATGCTGGAGAAAAGGAAACAGCCAAGCCACGCCTACCACTGAAATAAACCTGTTTCTTAGTTGTTTCATCAAGGCGAGTATGTGGTTCCTTCAAGCCTACAATTCCTTCATAATAGGCCAAGTGAATGCTGGGTGGCATCCTGAGTCCAAGCTTTGCCCTCATTGAGAACAAGTGGTCCCAAAAACCTCAATGATAAAACAAAAGTATATAGAGAAAAGACGCTTGTAGAGTGTGAAAATTAACTCCCTAGTTTCTCGGTCTGGAAACAGAATGTCTTTATACCCTTCCCATCTTACGTTCAGTTTTCCTACAATAGCCAACCCCATGTTCCCAGAAGGCCTGTGAACAAGTCATAGATGCCCAAACCTCCTGCTGTTGCTGTTCCTCACAGCAACTGTGTTCAGAAGCACACTGTCTCTGACCAAGGAAGGTCCATTTAGTAAGGATACACACGCCTGTACATTTTAAGTTCTCTGCTAATATTCAAAGAGCCTTGTTTTGTTCCTCTTTAGGTTATTTCAAAAACACTTGACTTTGGGTAATTCTTCAATGTCATTACATTAATGCTACAATTGTTTTTAATGTTTGTTTTTGTAATTGATTAGCTTTTTATTTTAGCTAAGGTCTCCAACCTCTTGCTCATTTTGGCTGCATTTTATTGCATCTTTTCCAGTTTTATGATATCCTTCTTGAGATGGGGCGATTTCTTAAATCATTTGGTATTTTAAAGTCTGGATTACCATAGAAACATTCCATCCAAGGTAAGAATTTTTAATAGCACAATCTTGTATGGAATTACTCCAGTCTAAATCCATTATTTCAACGGGCAACTCTGCAAAGGGCTGCACACTAACAATGCAATCCTAAGAGCACTTTCCTGGGAGTAAGCCCTATTGAATAGACTTTAGTAGAATTCAGAGTAGACTTGCTTAGGATTGCTCTCTAAATCACTTACTTCAATAATAAAATGTTAAGCATATGATTAACTCCCTTCAACTGAAATTACTGGTGCCCAAAACTGCTGAACTCTGGCTGGACCATGTCTTTATTGTTTAACCCAGTAATAATTTGGGATAGACAACAAAGGGCAGTCTAAAAGTCTAATTTAATAAAATAAGAAATAAATCAATCAATAAATAAGGGCACCAGCTGTGTAAACAAAGTAAAAAGATATAATTGTACATAATTAGATTTTTCCCAACTACAGCTTATTATACCTGTTTGATGAGGTCATTATCATCATTAATTTATTCCCATATGATGTCAAAACCACACAAGTTAAGTACACAAGTTTTACATTCCTGCAAGATTTCAGGTAGGCAGAACAAAAAAAGAAAAGAATACATTACCTTGGGCAGCAATGTATTTTCTCGGTTCTTTGAAACCCTATGATAGAAAGTAATATATTGTCACTCTGTACTTAACTGCCAAGAGATTTTAACATTAGCATGTACTTACCAAGATAAATCAACAACAATTTCTCATTTTGGACATTAAGAATGTAGTTAACAGAAACCACTCACATCAATATGGCTGGCATTTATGTATTCGGAACCTGGATCACTGATGATTGAAGAGAGCTCCACACGGTTATAGTCATCTTTTCATGCAGATAATCAGACACAAAGATAGAGAAAAAAGGAAGTTTGTCTCAAAACTCTCAGTTTGGTATTGTATCAGGAAGAATGTGGAGCATAAATAACTGGCATGAAAAGCTTTATTTGTAATGTCTACTTACAAGGGAGGATATCGACATAGCGGTTCTTGTTCTGATTGTACGGTTTGCGTGCATCTCTTATAGAAAATTTACTGAAAACTCTGGGAATGCTCTGCAAAACAAGACCATTCCAACTTGAATTTATTTATTTACTTTATAGTCTGCCTTTCTTGCTGAGATCCAAAGCAGATTACAAAATTAAATACAATGCAGTAAGAACCGTAGAAGACTTAATAAATAGTCTACTATGACTGGATTACCAAATTAGAAGCTAGCACAATAAACAACAGTGTAAAATATGACATAAGAAAAAAACTGGATTATGGATGTTTGAAGCGAATGCTGTAAAAGCAGATAATGCTGTAAAAACATTGCCACAAACAGCAGCCTTGTCCCTTTGTAAAAGCATCCTTCTGAACAATGCCATTTTACTACAGCACTATTGTCATCATAAAAATGTCGTTGTCCCCAGGGGTCATTTCGTAGAAAAAGACCTAGGGGAACTCATTAGCATAACTCATTAGCATATGCCACACCCCCTGACATCACCGGAAGTGTTGGGGGCCCGGCGGTGGACCTGCAAGGCCGGCGGGAGTGTGAGGAAGCCCCGCCAAGGCCCTCCCAGGCCGCAGGCAGGCAGGGGTGGGGAGAGGAGGGGAGGAAGCAACTTACCCTCCCTCTTCTCCTACCTCCTCCTGGCTGAATGAGGGCCGGAAGCGCGGCGGCCAGAAGCAGGGGGCGGGGCTTCATCGTGTGCCCCGCCCCCGCACCTCACCTGGGGGAACTGTGATCCCCCGCGATCCCCCCCGAATAGACCCCTGGTCGTCCCCCCCCCCGAACAACTTCATTATACTTATTCTGCGGAAGAGTAGAAGCATGGGAGCCCTCCTGCTCTCCTCAGGCAGGCCATTCCATTAGGGGGTGGCCACAACCAAGAGTGCACAAGTACAGGCAGTTGGTCTTACTCGTTTGCAGAGTTGCACTTTTCGAATTTCACCATTACCAGGCACAGAATGAAAGTGTAAATGAGGCCTCCCAAGACCCAATCATATGCCAAATGATATTTCACTGATATTAATCTGGAAGCAAAAGAAATATTAACGAATGGAAACTAAAATTTTGAAGCTGAATTCAAAATTTGTTACTTCTGGTCCAGAAGGTGCCTTTCAATAGCTGTTCAGTCCAAGCCAAAGTGTCCTCAGCAAGGCTGTCCCTTTAGCAAAGAGCAGTCTTGATAGACAGAAGTGCTGGAGACTTTATATGAGGTGTTAGATGATGCAATCCTTGTGGAATGCCTTGAGATTGTCATGTGATTGCACGTCCCCCATACAGCATCACATTTTAAACCATAAGGCAATATATTATTAGGCCTCATTATGCTTTCATTCTATGTCTAGTAATTTCACTCTGGAAGTAAGTTAATATGTCTTTAAAGTATAATGTAGGCATTGCTTGAGGGGCTGCGGTGGCTCAGAGGTTAAGATGCTTAGCTGCAGATCGGAAGGTCTGTAGTTCTGCAGTTTGAGACCCGAGTGCTGCGTGACGGAGTGAGCGCCCCTCTCTGGCCCGCTGAACTGCAGGCTGTGGAAGGTCAGTAGTTCAGCAGTTCGAGACCTGGGTGCTGCATGATGGAGTGAGCTCCCATCTCTAGTTCCAGCTCCTGCCGACCTAGCAGTTCGAAAGCAAGAAATTGCAAGTAGATAAATAGGGACCACTTCGGTGGGAAGGTAACAGCGTTCAGTGTGCCTTGGTGTTTAGTCATGCCGGCCACATGACCACGGAAACGTCTTTGGACAGCGCTGGTTCTTCGGCTTGGAAACGGAGATGAGCACCGCAACCCTAGAGTCGGATTCGACTGGCTTTCGAGCAAGGGAACCTTTACCTTTTTTAAATAGGTACTGCTTCCATCGGAAAGTAACGGTGTTCCGTGCACCTCGGCATTTGGACAGCGCTGGTTCTTCGGCTTGGAAACGGAGATGAGCACCGCAACCCTAGAGTCGGATTCGACTGGCTTTCAAGCATGGGAAACCTTCACCAATACTATAGGCATTGTTTATTCATTTTATTATATGTATTTAATTTCACATTTTTTACAGCTGTATAATTGTATTGTATTAGGACCACCCGGCCTCCCTCCACCACCTCTCAGCAGCATTTAAAGGAAGTCTTTAAACACTGCTGGGGAGAGGCAGGGGCTACTGGCTCCTGCCTTGCAAGAGGAGAGATCCCCTTTTGTAGGGCAGGAGCACCTGGCACCCGCTCTTTTCAAGTGGGTGCTGCTGGCTCCTGCCTTGCAAGAGGAGAGATCCCCTCTTGCAGGGCAGGCATACTTGGCTCTCGCTTCCTCCCCCCCAAGCATTTAAAGGGAAGGTTCCCTTTAAATGGTTGGGAAAAGGTGGGGGCATGGGCGAGCTGCATCCAGGGCATGATGGCATCACTCTGTGTGATGTCATCACATCAGGGATGTCCACACCCCTCCTGGAATGCCCCCTAATCCCCCTGCCGGGGAGAAATTTGGACCTGGCAACCCCATGTATCATGGTATAAGCCAATTTGTTCCTTGTTGTGTTTGACCTCTGAAGAAGGCCCTAATAGGCTGAAATGTGTCAAGTCAAGTCCATTGGCCCTGGTGTGTATATATGATTTTGGTATTTTTACATGAGGTATAATTGGGCCCCTATGTGTTTTCTGATTCTTTACAAATAGATACATGTATTTTTACATATTATTTATAGCTTAAGTTTTAATTGTTGGCTTTCTACTCAGTTTGACATAGCTGAAAAGGCTACACATCACTCAAATGGGCCTCAATGATTCAGCAAAACTAGCCAATAAAGAAAAACAGCTTTTTGGAAATGAAATCTTTTGTTAGCACTGAGTCATAGTGCACACACAACATGGCCATTTGGACCATGCAATGACACCATACTTCTTTCTTTTCTCCACAAAATAATGTCATCAGATTAATCAAGTAATGTGAGTATGTACATGTGAGTAGTTTGGAAATATGTCTCTCAGTTTATTGAGAAAGTTGCTCTTCTGATTAAACTTTCATTCTTCTGGATGATGAAACTTTATTCTTGACCAGGAATCTCTTGACATCTGCCTCTCTATATGGCTGTTTCCATGAAGCTTGCATCTAGAAGATCTTGGATCTAAAGATATATCTTCCCAACCCCAAAGGAAACCAACACCAACAGTACTAACATAAGGTTGGCTTACATATTTAACAGAATACCAACCTGAAATTCATCCAGGAAAAGTCTTCCTTCATCTGCTATCTTTCTTTTATAGCTTTCCCATAACAACTCTGCAGGAATTGGCTCTATATTCATCAGTTGCTTGTCATCATCTTTTTTAAAAAATACAAAAACCCCCATGTAGTTACCAATTTTGCTGTGTTTAATAGGCATAATGCAAATACCTGTTTAAATGCATGCTGCATGGAGTCATAATATGTTTGCAGAAATGTCATTACATGCATGAAGTTAAACTTGAATTCATCAAGTAATGCATTCACATAATGTGACTCCGTCTCTCAAAGTATGTGCATTTATCCCTACATGCTAACGCCGCAGTGAATGAATAACAGAGCTCCAAAAAGTAATGTGCCCTATGCAATTATATACTCCATGCAATTATACTCTCCAGTAGTGGTTCTCAAACTTCCTACTGTCAGAGAGCCTGACCATTTGTCTGCAGAAGAACTTCTATTTGCCTCACAGACCATGCCAATTTGGGCATGCTCAAATATGCAAGGTCAATTCATGTAGACCTCTGGCAAAGCTCACTAGGCCTCCCAGAAGTAACTGAGAATGCAAGACAGAATATACCAACTACACAGGAAAAGATAAGTAATTGTTCTTTCCCAGGGAAGCTTATTCACTGTTTCTGGTCCCTCACAAGGAATAATCCTTTGTGAAGAATCTGCTCATGAGTTTCCTTGGAATGCTAGGGATAGATAGAACCCTCTGTGAAAAAAACACCAGTGCTTTACATCAAGGGTAGATTAAAGAAACAATGGATTGTCTTGTGAGGACAAGGGGGGAAACCCTGTTTGATCCATAATGAAAGTAGCAATAATTGTCAAATATATATTTGCAATTACCTGCAAATACCCTGCAAGAAACTTGTGAGGAGGGGGCATTCCACCCTTTTGTTTCCTCCCTTCTTCCCCTACTTCTCTGCTTCCCACTCTTTTTACATCCTGCTACCACATCTCTTATTTTCTCCCCCATGCCTGTTACTCTCTCTGTCTGCTACCATATCACTCTCTTTCACTTTCTGCCCCCTACCCCAATCACTCTTTTTCTCTCTTTCTGCCCCCCACTTCATCACACTCTCTCTTGTCTGCCCCTCTCAGCACTCTCTTTCTTCTTCCTCACCCCAGCACTCTTTTTTCCTCTCTCTTTCTGTCCCCTCCACCAATGGTCGCCCCATAGCCACTCCCACTGGCTCTCCCAGAGCCCACCAAGGCTTCCCTGTCCCCAGTCGCCACACTTGGCAGCTGCCCCTCCCCTTGCGGCTCTCAGTGGCTCACCCTGAGCTTCTCCGGGTGGGTCTGCCTCAGCTTCCCTCCTGCCGCTCCCCATACACACACACACACACACACTGCTTTTGGCAGCTCACCAGTTGCGGCTGCAGTCTCCAGGGCTCTGAGCCCGGTGGCTCCTGGGGTTCTGCCTCAGCAGTCGCCACTGCCAGAATCGTTAAAGGTAAATGTGTTGTCTGAATTTAACCCCACCATTTTTTATGTTAGATTTTTCTGCAAACCTGGAGGTCCCTCAAAGTTTGCAGAAACATCTGTTTAGTGAAAGTGTGGCCCCAATCCACAGATATAGGTCTCCGCAGATAGGGGGCACACTTTTATGAACAATATATATATATTCTCTCTCTCTCTCTCTCTCTCTCTCAAAGGAAAGCTCCCATGTGTGGTTTCATCCAGGCACTGTTTAGGGCCTGAGCCCCTGACAAGCAGAATCTAAGAATTTGCCTTCAGATAGCCTATGGGTACCCTAAAACTCATACATCGATTCTATGAGAGAGAGCCTAGTTGTTTCATGTCTTGTGCTGAGAAAGCTTAAGATAAGCAAAATAGAGGAGCAATTATCTGTCATTTTGTCATTTTTAAGTTTACAGATAGGTCCAGTAAGAATTTAGAAGAAAACAGGAATCCATGGAAGCAACGGACAATGCAGTTTCTTATACCAACTAAGGGTAAAAGAGGAAACAGGCAGATTACAGGGAGGAAAGGTATTTATTTAGCTACTGAACAGCTCAGGGATAGAACCGTCCTGTGAATTCTGTGCGGTTATCATACTTATCTGGTCCCATCGAGAAGTCTGATTCAAGTTTAAGTAATGTTGCATTGGCCTTACAATGAGCCAGGTAAAAATCCATTTAGTGCATGCATATGCCAAAATTATAGCAAACGAATACCTACCTGGCGCAACAAGCCTCATAGATTCATTTGAATCTCTGTAAGAAAAATAATCATTGATTAATGTTAAGAACAACATTTATTTATTTATTTATTCGATTTATACCCCACCCTCCCTGCAAGGCAAGCTCACGGCGGCTTACATAAAAATGCATATATAAATATAGTTAAAATCATACATAAAACAACCATAAATTATATATAAAACAACCATAAACATTTTCCTAAAGTGCTGGAACAATACTCAAGTAAAGTGCAGGAGAATAAAGTGCTGGAACAATACTCAAGTAAAGTTCAGGAGAGAAAAATTCTAGATTAAGCTACACCACTACTTAGGGGATAGTCCTGATGGTATACACATATCTGCTCGGATAGATCTACTAATCTGTGCCATGAACCAGGCTAAAGATGGTAAAACCAGGTCACTCCTCGGTATTTAAGGTGGCTCCTAATCAAAAGCCTGGTGGAAGAGCTCCGTCTTACAATCCCTGTGAAACTGTAAAAGGTCCCACAGGGCTCTGATCTCCTCTGGGAGCTCATTCCACCAGTACAGAGCTGCCACCGAGAAGTCCCTGGCCCTGGTTATTGCCAGCCTGACCTCTTTGGGGCCTAGGAGGGCCTGCTGGTTTTGGACCCCTGAATGCAGTGCTCTCTGGGGAACGTATGGGGAAAGGTGGTTCCTCAGGTATGCAGGACCCCGACCGTAAAGGGCTTTAAAGGTCAAAAACAGTACCTTGAAGTGAATCCGGTATGCTATTGGTAGCCAGTGCAATGCTTTCAGCACAGGCTGGATGTGCTCCCACATGGAGAGACCCATCAACAGCCTGGCCACAGCATTTTGCACCACCTGCAGCTTCCAGATTTGAGACAAGGGCATCCCCAAGTAGAGAGCATTAGAGAGGTGACCATCACATAGAGAGGTGACCATCACATGGATCACTGTTGCCAAGTCGTTGCATTTGAGGAAGGGAACCGCCTGATCACCTGGAGATGGTAAAAGGCCAACTTGGCAGTGGCTACAACCTGGGCGTCTATCGTTAGACTCCTAACCTCCGGCGCTGGCATCAACTGCACCCCATCAAAGGTTGGGAGTGGGATCCCTACCCTCAGGCCACCCTGGCTCAGGCACAGGACCTCCATCTTTGTCAGATTCAGTTTCAGTCGACTCAGTCTAAGCCAACCAGCCAAGGCTTGTAACGCCCAGTCCAGATCTTCTGGTGTAGAGTCAGACTGGCCACCCAACAACAGAGCTGGGTGTCATCCACATATTGGTGACATCCTAGCCTATGCCTCTGGGCAATCTGGGCAAGGGGGCGCATATAGATGTTGAACAACATCGGGGAAAGTACCACCCCTTGAGGCACGCCACAGGTCAGTGGATGCCTTTGGGACAGCTGTTCCCCTAGTGCCACCCTTTGTCCCCGACCCTGAAGAAAGAATGCAAGCCATTGCAAGGCAAGCCCCTGAATTCCAGAGTCGGCAAGGCGGTGGATCAGTAGCTGATGGTCAACCGTGTCAAACACTGCTGACAGGTCCAGCAACAACAGCACTGCCGATCCACCTCAATCCAGGTGCCTCCTGAGGTTGTCCATGAGGGTGACCAGTGCTGTCTCCATCCCACGTCCCAGGCAAAAACCAGACTGGAAGGGGTCTAAAGTCTAAAGTGGAAGTGTCATCCAAAAAGCTCTGTAACTGGACTGCCATGGCCCTCTTAATTAACTTGCCCAAATAGGGCAAGTTGGAAACTGGCCGGTAGTTAGCCAATTCAGCCGGATCCAAAGATATTTTTTTTCAAGAGGGGATGGACCACAGCCTCCTTACGTATCCCAGAGAACTGACCCTCCAAGAGGGATCTGTTGATAATCTCCCCTAGGGCACCTCGAAACCCACCATGACCAGCTTTAATTAGCCCCGATGGGCACAGATCGAGGAGACACATGGTAGGGTGTACAGTTAAGAGCAATCTGTCAATGTCCCATGTTACTGAAGCCTTTACCAATCAAATATTAAGTTACTGTAGTAGAGTTTTGGCACTGAGACCTTAATAATGCCTGGGTTACTTTAAAATATAGTTTGTTCCTATCCCAGCACATTAACAGTACTGCAGATGGTTAGTATGTGGAAGGCAGAATTAGACAGCTCATTACCATGCTAACTTCACCTTGTAGGTTAACACCAGCATGATAAGGAACCATATCATTTTTCTCACCCATCTGCATCCTCCAACTAGAAGTTTCCAGAACAGTGTGGAATTGAACTATGAGAACGAAACTCCCATACCACTGTTAGGATATCAAATCAACTCAATAATAATTCCACTCTACAAGAAAGGGGATCCTAAAATCCCGGGTAATTACCGACCTATTAGCCTTCTTTCTGTAATGGGCAAACTATATGCTAAACATCTTGAGCAGCGATTGCGTAGTTGGGTAAAAGAAAAAAATATTATTGGCCCTGAACAAATTGGATTCTCTAAAAATAAATCAACCTTGGACCACTGTTTAATTTTATCAGCCTTGTCTGAGAAATATATGAAAGTAGGCTCCAAGAAACTCTACGTTGCCTTTATAGATCTAAAAAGTGGAGAGAGAGAGAGAGAGAGAGAGAGAGAGAGAGAGAGAGAGAGAGAGAGGTGGTTACAGGTTTTGCACCTTCTCATTCCATTTTAGGCTGCTCACTTGCAAATTAAAGGTCTAATATTCAAATTAAACTGATTTCTGTTATCCCAGCCTTAGATAATACATGCTAATTTTGTATTGTTTGTGGTAGGAGATGGTTACAGTAATTGTCAGTGCAATTCTAAGAACATTTTCCTGGGAGGGAGCCCCATTGAATGGACCTGAGCATGATACTGAGCTGACCTATTTAGGATTGCTCTTTGTGAAGCTGAGGTAATATCTTTCTCTGTTTGTGACATTGTAGGATCCTCATGATTTCTGCACCACTGACCACATTCTTCTGATTATTTACATACCTATCTACATATCTTTTTCTCCAGTGTGGGCAGATCTGCAGACAGCTAAATCTGCGGATTCAGCCCATGCTGAGAGAAAAGAGATTTTTCGATTGGAACCCCCCAACTTTGCAGAAAAATCTTTGAAGTTTTAATAAAATGTATTGTCTCTTACCATGCATTGTGCTCTGAATTAGGACTTAGTTTGATTGAAACCAAGACATGGGTGTTAACGGTCCGTTACTGGCTTAAATTATATTTTAACATTGAAGATGGTTCGCTTTTGTCTTTTCTGTTAAAGGAAATTCATAGTACCTCTTGGGACTATAATATTCGAACCAAAATAAGATATTTGGGCCTCTCCTTGGAGAAGCTAGCTTTCTCCTCTGAAGTGTATATCTTCCAAACAATCAAACAGAGGCTGGTAGATATTGAACTTCAAAAACTGCAGCCCCTTCATCCCCCTGTCTGTTCTTCAGCTACATTAAGTCTTAAGAATGTTGTGGGATGTATCCCCCTGTATTTGTATAATCTTGATAGCCCTAGCCACCGGAGAGCGTTTTCTCTTGCTCGAGTAAATGCCTTTCCATCAAAACTACTGTATGGTAGGTTTCAAAATATTCCTAAGCATGAACGGAGATGTGACTGCGGTTCTAACTCTCTTGATTCAATTGATCACATATTGTTAGACTGTTTGTGGCATGCATCTGCTAGGGAAAAATGGTTAAACACTTGGTTGCATGGTAAACATCACCTTTCCAATGAAATAAAATGCCAATTTCTATTGAACGATGTAACAGCAGAGATTACTGTGGCAGTGGCCAATTTTTTAGTTGACGTGATGAGAGTGAAAAATTTGGGAAAGTCCATTTCATGATTTTATGATTAACCTAGACTTTTAGTTGATTGTGTCATTTTCTCTCTTTGATTTTTAAGGTTGTATATGTCATTAAAGGTTTATTGATTGATTGGATATCAAATCTAAGCCTGAATATGAATGAGAAAGTTGTAGCCTTCTCATCTTACTACAAATAGTGAAGAAAAGCATTACCTTGATTTCTCTTTGTTGAGGTCGTAGATTTTATAC